TCGTTTTGCATTGGTTTTGGTTCATTTTTGGCAGGGACCTCTGGTTCATTATTGGAAAGGTCGTAGAAGGATGGGAGGCCAGTAATTGTTCTGTCAGCCAACTTTATCCCTTCATCGCCCTCCGTCGCCCGTTTTTTCTCACTTGGAAGCCAATGTTGACCACCCTAAGGCCACTTTTTCTTGCCCCAAACCACATATTTGTGTTGTACACACCTGGGAGGCCACCAATATCACATGGCCGGCCAGTAATTCTTTCTGACCCTTTCGAACCCCTCCTAACAGTGGCCTTTTCTCTCTCCTGGTTCACTTTCTCCAGTTTTTGGACTACATGGTTGTGTTGTGCACACATGAGAGGCTCTTTTTTTGGTATGGCTGACCATTAATTCTCATTGAGCCTTTTGACCCTTGGCCGGCCGGCCATGGGGAGAGCCAGCCGGCCACCTGGAACCTCAATAACCAGCCGGCCTTGCTCCTTGCTGCAGGTACATTTCTAATATGCATCTCTTTTCCCTCCCAGATTTTGTATCCGGGGGGCCAACTTTTTGGGAGGAAACTCGAATTCATTTCCCCCCCATTTTTTCCCCATTTTCTCCCCATCTTTTGCCTATAAAACCAGCCTCCCAGCTCTGGTTTAAGGGTTAGAAAATTTGCCTTTGAGCTCCCATATTGTATCTCTCTCCCTCTACACTTCCAAGCTCCAAACCTCTCAAGTCCTACACTCATTTCTACACCACCACCTAACACCACACCACCACTCCATTCCAGCAACTTGGAGGGCCTTCTCAGAGCTTTGGAGGCACCTTTTCTCAAGCCAAAAGGCTACTAAAGTTTGGTCTTCAAGGGTAAGCAACATTTCTTCTCTTTTAAGCTTATTTTTGTATCCTTTCTAAGCCATACATGCTTGCATATTTGGGCTCTGATCCTAACTGAAAATAGTATTTTTTTGAGCTCTTTTTCATGTTTGTTTAAGGGCCTCTCACTGTTTGAGGCTTCCTTTTATCACTTGCTTCTTTACCTCTCTTGTGTGCCTATTTCTTGTGTAGTATTTTTGGCCTACGTGTAAACTTTTTTGAGCTCTGTCATAAACTGAAAAGTGGCTTATTTTGAGCCCTTCTTCAATATTGTTGAAGGGCTCATCACTGTTTGAGGCTTCCATTTTCCACGTGCCTCTTTATCCCTCTTTTGGCCTTATTTTTGCATGTTTTGTTAGCCCCTTGTTCTTGTATTTTTGGGCTCCGACCCAAACTGAAAATAGTCATATTTTGACCCCCTCTTCATGTTTGATTTCGGGTCTTTTGCTGTTTGAGGCTCCCTTTTTACACTTTGTGTTTAAACCTTCTTTTAGGCCTATTTCTTGCATAGTATTTTAAGCTTACTTTTGCACTGTTTTGGGCTCGGCCACAAACTGTAAAATACTTTGGTTTGAGCCCCTCTTCAACTTTGTTGAAGGGCTCTTCATTGTTTGGAGTCAGCAGCTGCTACTTGCTTCTTTATCTCTCTTTTGGGGCCATTTTTGCATGTTAACTTAGCCCTATTTGTGTTCACCTTTTGGCCTTGCTTGAAACTGTAAATATGCTTGTTTTGGGGCTGTCTTGATTCTTTCTTCACACTTCGTGTTCGAATAATGCATGCTTTGCATAGCCATAGGTCATCCCATGCACCTAATTTCATGTTTCGGGTCTCATTCCATGCATCGGGTGCCGCGTTTCCATGTTTTGGGATCATTTTGCATCACATTTCAGTGCTGAAACTTGCATGTTTGTATGTCATATTTCGTGCCTTGCCATGCCTTGTGAGAGTGGCATTTGTGCCTTAGGATCAGTCCTCGGTTTGCATGCATGTGTGCACGCATTTCG